CAATACAGGTCGTCTGTCCTGAGTGTGATACAGATTGTCTGTCCTGTGTGCTTCCTACTTACTTCTTGGAGGAGGAAGAAAAACAAAAACAACCAATAACTAAAAAGCAGTGAGCTTGTTCTAGAAAAAAAGACTTGGTGGTTCAAGCTGAAAACATCCAAGCAAGTCCTGCCCAGGGCAGGGATGGAGCTTGCAGCCACCATGGCCTCTGTTCCCCAGGATGCTGAGTGGCAGATGCTGTGAAGGGTGAGTGAGGACAGGGGCTGCCTTCAGAGTGGTGGCCGAGGGAAGGACAAAGCTGCAGCACTCATGTGTGGGTTTGTGGGAGGCACAAAGCCACCAAAGGGTGGAGCAGGGTGCACAGCTGGGCTGTGAGGACCGGTGGCCCTGGGACGGACTTCCCTGAGAGGACCTTCATGCTATGCTCCAGGCAATGCACAGGAGACACAAACTGCTTTCCCTAAGCCCAGATTTTTACTCTACAACACAGAAAAAGACACAAGAAAGGCAAAAATTGGTGACTATCAATTTAACACTTCATTTTACAAACTCTCTAAGAAAATCCCCTGTTATAACCCTAAGTGCAGCATGCTGCCATGCTGGTGCGCATGAGCAGGGAGAACACGCGTGTTACAAGCAGTTCTTCATGTGTATGAACAGGCTGGGGGGAGAGGCCAGCAAGACAACTCAGCGGACTAAGTGCCTGCTTTGGCAGGCGCAGGGACCAGGTTCAGGGCCTAGCCCTGCTGCCAGGCCGGCCCCACCCCCAGGACAGGATGAGCTGGCGGCCGACCGAGGCCACGCACGGTGGTGCACATCTGTAATCCCAGCGCTGGGGAGGCTGAAAACAGGAGAATCCCTGTGAGTCTGAGCTGCATAGTGAGACTCTGTACTAAATACATAAATGAAAAATAAATAAACAAGCTGGGTGTTACCGCGCAGTTTAGACAGTGTGTCTGTTGAAGAAATTCTTTTCTTCTTACATTTCTTTCTGAGCACAATTAAACTTCTGTACCAACCAACATCTAGGCATTATGTAGCATATTAAAAAAAAAATTTACTGAGAAACAATAGCAATGAGACAGTTTCAAAACCGATTACTAGCACAGTTTCAATAATCAACACACTGCATACTGTTGTCTTAGTGGTTATTCATTGTACAAGATGCTGACATGAGATCTGTCCACAAGCACTATTAGAACAAACCTCTCTAGTCAGTGATCCAAGAGAATGCAACTGTGTGTCTAGCTTAACTATTCAGAACGTACAGACACAAAGTGGTCCTTCATTTGTATCCCCTTTTTTGTTTAGTTTTGTCAGAGAAGGGTATTACATTGTTAAAAAAATATGCTAATCTTCTCTGTATTGTTCCAGTTTTAGTATATGTGCTGCCAAAGAGAGCACTTAAGTAACATTTTTAAATTATCTTTATTAAAGATGATATATGAGCTGTTTTCCAACAACTCACACATTGGAAGCCTTGCTCTAAGTTAATATTTTATACAGAATTTCACATGAGCAAATCTGAAAGCAGGAAATGGTCTCTGACAGGATTTGGAGCTGTGAGCTGTAATAAGCCACAGCAGCCACCGCAATGACAGGCAACAGCATGACCAGACCTTGCTGGAGCCCCAGGCAAAAAGAAAAGAAAAACCATAGGTCCGTGGCAAGGTTCTAAGCCACACAAGCTGCTCTGTGGGCCCTGGGGCCTACAGCTGGGGTCAGAGGTTACCCCAAGGAAGGGTGGCAGGCCTGGGCCTAGGCAGGGCCAGCCAGCCAGCCACACGGGGGCGCTGGAGGGGCATCCCAGCGACACCCCACAGCTGGAATGTGGGGGAGGCAGCTCTTCATGCAGTACCGGAGTCTGCCCCAACCACTCCTCTGAAAACACCTCTGCTCTGAGGCCCAATTTGGGGTCACACTTGAGATGCCATGTGGAAACTGCTCAGAAATGCTGGTGCTAAGAAGATGACGCTGCAAAGTCCAGCATTCACGCGCACAGCACGTGCCACAAGCACAAGCTGGAGGATGTCAAAAACACCAGGGAGCAGCCTCAAGCCAGGGTCCCCGGACTCGTGTCCCTCCTCCTCAAGGGAACAGGCGCCAGACTCCTCTTCCTCAACTCTAGTCCAAATGTCCCATCTGACAGGTCACCAGGCCTCCCTCAGGCGGCCCTGGTCGCATGGGGAGCCCACAGGGACCTGACAGGCAGTTCTCTGGGGCAGAGCTCGGCCTGCTGCCATGCCACCCACCCACGCCTCGCCATGGGGGCGCGGCTTCCCTAGTCCTCACTCCAGTCTCTGTGTCCCGGGGCCTCAGGTTGCATCAGTCCCTTGCCTTTTGTTATGTACGGTACGCGACCCTATGACAAGTTGAGGAAATGTGTCACCCCTTCCTGTCCATTTTTTTTTTAACACACCAGGCCAGCTAAGTGGGAGAATCTGTCATTTTTAATAAATACCAACTTTTTTTTTGACAGCTCAGATATTTCTTAAATGTAATTCGTAGTTCTATAACTTTTTTTTGGAGGGGGGGGTACAAGGTCTCACTACACAGCTTGGACTCACAGTGATCTTCTTGTCTCAGCCTTCCCAGCGCTGGGATTAGAGGCATGTGCCACCATGGCTGGTTTCAGTGGCCAGCTAGGCAGCAAGGACTGCACTCAGGTCCTTGCCCTTGTCGCGCAGGGGCTTAGACTGTCAAACTATCTCTCTGGCCCTAAATAACATTTTTATCGTTAAAAATGACATCACGCTACTGAAGTCACTTCCAGTGTCTCACAGTCTTAGAACACCAGAATCTGTTTTTTCGATGGCATGACGGGGCTCTGGCCCCTCCACAGAGTGCAGCACCTTGGCCGAGGCTGGACACAGGTGTGGCTGTCTCCACCCCCTGGCACCTCCTGCAGGTGCTGTGGGTGAGGTGCCAGGCATACAGCACACTGCCCTTGGCCTGTGCTTGGCCTGAGCCCTGTCCTTGCCTCATCTGCCAGGGAGCATTGGGCCACGCTGCCTTCCACAGGCCTCTATCCACCCTGGCTCCTTCTGGTCCACCAAATCCCAGTGTGGGCGCACATCTCCCAGGGCCACACACCACCTCCCAGGGCCGCACACCACCTCCCAGGGCCGCACACCACCTCCCAGGGCCGCGCACACCACCTCCCAGGCCGCACACACCACCTCCCAGGCCGCACACACCACCTCCCAGGCCGCACATACCACCTCCCAGGCCACACACACCACCTCCCAGGGCCACACACCACCTCCCAGGGCCGCACACCACCTCCCAGGGCCACGCGCACCACCTCCCAGGGCCGCGCGCACCACCTCTCAGGCCTGCACACACCACCTCCCAGGCCGCACACACCACCTCCCAGGCCGCACACACCACCTCCCAGGCCGCACATACCACCTCCCAGGCCGCACACACCACCTCCCAGGGCTGCACACCACCTCCCAGGGCAGCACACCACCTCCCAGGGCAGCACACCACCTCCCAGGGCCACGCGCACCACCTCCCAGGCTGCACACCACCTCCCAGGCCTGCACACACCACCTCCCAGGCCGCGCACCACCTCCCAGGCTGCACACAGAAGGTGCAGTACAGGGCTACCACCTGCCAGGCCTGGACTTCCAGGGTCATGGGCACACTGCTCATGCCAAACTGCAGTTTCATTTCTGTTTATCTGTTAAGAGTCTAAAATGTCCTAAAATGAAATAGTAGTGACAGACATTGTACAACTGGGGATACACTAAAAACTACCGAAATGACCCTGTAAGAAGGTGGATTTTATGATATTCAAATTACCTCAAAGTGACTAGAACATGAACTTCAAAGCGATTATCAAAAAAGTGCCTCCTATCTCGAGTAAAAACAGTGTCTAATCCCAGTGAATGAAAACTCGGAGTCTTGCAGCTGGCTACACAACAATCACTCCAAATGCACTTGCCACGCCCCTGCTTCTGTGCCAGGAGCCTGAACAGGGTCCCAAGGGGAGGACAGGCCCATGTCGCAGTGTCAGGGCCTCAGCTCACAAGGCTTCTCCCCTAGTGGAGCATGGCACCAGTGTTCCCTGGAGCACAGGTCCTCAAAGAGAAGGCAAAGCCAGGCTATGGACCCAGCTGACAGCTCACGCAGCAGCGCTTTGCAGGCTTCAGCCCAGGGTCACGGCACAGGACAGAGACATGGCCCCCACCCTGCATCAAAATTCCACATAACAATGTGCAGTTGGCAAGGGAACCACTGCTGAGGTCACACAAGAAAACAATCTGTTGCCCGAAGTGAATTCCACAATCAAATCTTACCTTCCTCCAACACTGGAAAACTAAAAGTCAGGCATACCTGGAATCTGACTAGAAAATCAACGTGTATTTCAACCCTGTAAGCTAACCTTGCACTAGTGTATAATAAAGAGCCGCAAGCCAAAAGGCGAAGGGCCACAGCCAAGCGTCCTGCCTCTGCAAGTGCAGGCTCAGCCTGCAGCGCACAGTGCGCTCAGGGCCACCGGCTGACCTCAGGGCGTGTGCTTCCTGGGGGACCGGACAGCAGCGGGGCTGGGCAGGGACAAGCTGGACACACTGGTGCAGGGCCACCAACCTGTGGCCCGGAGTGCACAGCCCAGGCCTCCACGCTCCCAAGGGAGGCCTCCAGCAGGGAAGTTCCATACTGAGCCACGAAAGAAGGCGGGAAGGCTGGACTTAAAAACCCTAAATGGCTCCAAGTTAGAGCGCTGAGGTTAGAATAAACACCTTCTTTTTCTTTTTTTCAGTACTAGGGACTGAACCCAGAAGTGCTCGACCACTAGGCTGCACCCCAACCCGTTTCATTTTTATTTTGAGACAGGGTGTAAATTACTAACTTGCTCAATCCGGGCTTGAACTTGTGATCGCACCGCCTCAGCCTCCAAGAGTGCTGAGATTGCAGGTATGTGCTACATGCCTGGATAGGACAGGCCTTCCAGTGACAAAAAGAAGACAAAACCCGATGAATTGAAAGCAAACCTCATTTGTAGAAAAGCGATCCTCAGGAGAGCTGAGTGCCCGAGGCCAGGTTTCTGGTCCCCGATCTGGCTCTGGCCTGCTATGGGCTTTAACCAAATGGGATGACTTCTTTGGGCCTCAGTTTCCTCATCTGTAAAATAAAGGGGCAGAATTAGATAAAGGCTCTTAGCTGAGGCCAAGAGTGCATCGCAGCCAGGTGCCCACTGAGGAGTTCCTGGAAGATCCACTGCTTTCCCATCAAAGTCTGACCCTGTGCCATCGACGTTCACTGGCACAGAGACAAGTTCCATCCCAGTGTCAGGACACCATCCCAGTACCTGGCCTGCCTCTTGGGAGACACTGTCTTGGCTACCAGGAAGCTATGACAGAAGGATCCCAAGTTTGAGGCCAGCCTGGGCAATGTAGCAAAATCTTGACTCAAGATAAAAATAAAAAGGGGCCTGGAGTTTAGCTTAGTAGTAGACCACTCGCCAAGCAAGGTTCTAGGTTCAACCTTCTGCCCTGCAAGATAAAAGGACAGGGGATTGGCTTCAAATAACAATGTGACATATACTTCTAACAAAAAGCAGACCAGCCTTTGATAACGAAGCCAACAGGTCCACACAATGTTTGCAACTCTGACATCTGAGCAGGGTCTAGCTAACCTGGGTCTCCTTCCCTCCCCCGGGCCAAGCACTACAGCCTCAGAAGTAGCACTTGGAGCCTCAGTAGCTCTTAGAACAGACAGATGCTCCATGGGACACATGGGCACATGGGGCTACAGACTCACCAGAAGAGCACAATGTGTCAGCCCCTTCTCTGGCTCACAGCCCGAGGTGGCCACACGCTACACGTGAAGCCGACAGCCATCTCCCAACCACAGCCAGTCACCAGGCGTCAGGAGCCAGGCAGATGTCACCGGAGGAAGAACTGCACTCAGTGGCCCACTGTGGCACCCAGAGAAAGGACGTGCTCTGCATGGAACACCCAATTTATTTACGTTCATCGTGAATGCACAGGCTTTCTGCTGGAAAACCTCACTTAAAATGCCAGAAGGTTGAGAGCCCATTCACAAGCTTTTCAGAATGCATGCAGTTGCCATGGTAACCCTGACATTCTATTTCTTGGCACAGGGACATGTAAAATTACCACCCATAATGCATTTAATACAGTCTGGGGCCACCAATTCATAGCAAAATAAGTAAGTTCAGCTCTCGGGCTCACTCTCAGATAAAGAGGACCAGGTGGAGGTAGTGCTCGGCTTGCCCACAGACAGGCAGAGCACCACATAGCGGAAATGCTCATCTGAGGCATGAGGGCCCAGGGAACAGCAGACTTCACCTGCTGCCAGCCAGGCACAGTGCTGCCTGCCAGATCAATCAACCATCATTGTCTAAATGGACAAGTATATTAAAACCTGTATCTGCATCTCTGAAATATGACCACCTAGAAAGAAAAAAAACCAAAAACCAAGGGCCAGGGAGATGGCTCAGTGGAGTAAGCGCTTCCCTGGCAAGTGCAAGGGACTGAGTTCAATCCCCGGTTCCACACACACACAAAAAAAAAAACCAGCAGCTGCTCTCTTCAAAGACCACTCACAGCCCTTCATGTAGAGGGCACCTGCCCACACTACACAAGATAACTCTCCAGAGGTCACAACTGTCCTTCAGAAGAAACAAAGTCCTATTTCTTCAGTTCTCAATCTTACTTCTCTGCTCTGATTCACGATATTCAGAGGCATTTAAAATGCCCAGGCGCCAGTCTGCAAGTCCTTTCCCTCTGTGCAATCCACCACCTGAACAGAGATGCAAACCAAGACACCAGACACAAGGCACAACAGCCTCTGGGGCTTCATGTCCTGGGCGCCTGCCGCACCGGAGCCTGAGAGCCGCTGCTGCAGGACGCACTGCGCTGGCCACGGCATGCACGGAGCCCTGGGTCCTAACCACTGCACCGCAGGGCCGCTCACCTCCTTCCTGCAGCAGGCAGCAGGCAGCAGCAGGAGGGAAGCCCCAGCCCCATCTCAGGTGGGTTCCACGTTCCTGGGGACTCTGGTAGCCACTGCACTGCATCTTTCTCAGCGCTACCACCCTCAGGAGAGCAGAGTCGGGGGAGACTTCCTGGCAGGGCAAGCTGCCTTTGGAACCGCAGAGATCTTTCAAAGGTCTTAAAAAGTATCGAGACTCCTTTGGGTGCTTCTGGATCTCCAATCTGTTTCCTAGAGGTATCTGGGTGTAGTTCTCCCAGGATAGCCGTGATACGGCCTGTGCGGTTTCACACTCTCCCTGTGAGAGTGCTGCATCTAATGCCTTGCTCCAAGTCCCACCGAGGCCTCCTGGGAACGAAACCCAGGTTTTCACGACAGAAACAGGCATGTCCTGAGAGCACTTACAGCTCCAAGGAGACAGCAAGCACCCACGCCCTCCCTCACTCGGCTGCTCCCATGGAGCAGAAGTGCCACGATACACAAGCCAGTTCACAAGAAGCCTCTCTCTCTCTCTCTCTCTCTCTCTCTCTCTCTCTCTCTCTCTCTCTTTCCAGTAAGTACCACTTGCCAGGCAAGTGCTTCTTCTGAGCTATCTCCCTGGCCCCCTAGAAGAAGCTTTTTATTCATTCATTCACCGTATCTGTGAGCACGGAGCAGGTGCCGCTTGTGAAAAGGTACCCGCCTAAGGGAAAGCTCCAGCACTTATGGTCAGAGGGCCCTAAGAGCACAGGCCAAAGAACAAGGCATCCAGCCACAGGGATGAGGACTGCCGCAGAGCTAAGGACAAGGTGTTCTGAGAAAGAGACATCTGATGGGTGCTGGTAGACAAGGGCAGCACGAGAGGGGTGCAGGGTCCTCAAGAACCCACATTATCCTGGCAGATAGGAAGGACCCTCAGCACTTGCACAGGCTCTGAGCGGCGTGGGCCCAACTCACCCCACGGTGGCCTGAGCAAGTGCCTGTGAGTCTGGTCCCTGAGCAGACCCTCCAGAACCACACCCTACCCACAGGAGCAGGTGCCTCTGTGGCCCAGCCTGGGCAGGGCGGATGTCCGAGCAGCCTCTGTCCAATGTGTCTCATCCCCTCAGAGAGCCTGGCCCAACACTGAGCAAGTGCAAGTAAGGGGGCCAGAAGCAGCAGACATCACCCACAACAAGGAGGACCCCAGCACACAGGGGTTGAGTCACACTGCCAAGAGCGCCCCTTCCCACCTCCCTGGCTACCTGGCCTGTTCTCCGCTCAGCACTGGAATCCTCTCCTCCATTATCTGCCACAGGCTCCTTCCCACCTGGAAGGAAACCGCTTCCTGTCCTCTGCCACCTTCAGTGACCAGCACACGGTGCTGATGCAACAGTTCTACATCTGCATCCCCGAAAGTCAGTCCCTAGGCCAACATAGAGCCACCTGTGCCCCTCAAACGGGACCATGGCCCAGACAGCTGGGTCTTGCCTCGCACGCTGGTGTCACTACCACATCCTCTGCATCTGTCTGTCCCAGGATTTACCAACACCGTAGGACCAGCACTCATGGGTGTGCACAGCTACGGGGCAGCAGGCTCCCCGCCCAGCTCTGCCGCTGAGGTGTGAAGCCAGCACAAGTGCGCTGCAAGCAGACAGCACGGGCAGGGCCCGAGAGTTGCACTCTGTGGCACGCACAGCAACAGATGAGTGACAGCAGTGCTCGGCATGTGCCACAGGCTGCGGAGGGGCCTTCCAGGACACCGCACATGTGGACTCCCTCCTGGAGGGGACAGCTGGCAGCACGTGGCATAGGAGGATCAGAGGCAGCTTAAGGAAATTTCCCTTTTCTCAGCACCGTGCTTTATAGATCCACTAGTTAAGTTTAAAGCCTCGGAGGAACTTTTATCAGGCACTGCTGGACAAATGTAGATGCCACTCTGGGCAGTCCCCACAGAATTTCCCACAGAGCCCTGCCTTTCAAGTTAGATCAAGGCTGTTTCTCTGTAGCCTCATCCCGCCGGCCAGGCGTTGGAGTATGGCGAGCAGACTTCCCCACTGGGCCTCACATCAGTGCCCTGCACTCTCAGACGGCCCCTCGGCTGCAGGGGCTGAGAGGAAGGCGCAGTTGGGTGCAGGTGGAGGACATGGGCATATGCAGGAAGACTGGGGGCACCCACCATCCTCCAAGTCACCTTTCGTGAGAGTGCCTGGAAGCAGGGCCAGGAGGGCAGAGCCAAAGGGAGCAGCTTCCTGCTGTCCGCACCCCAGTCGAGAGGCAGCGAGACTCCAGCCCAGAAGCAACTGCTGCTGCTCTCAGCTAGCACTGCCCCTTGGAGGGCCGGCACAGCTGGCAGAGCCGATCTGCTTCTCCACGATGAGCACAGGGAAGGCTCCCCTGGCACAACCGCTCCCAACAGCAGCACAACTGTCAGCATGGCTCCCAGGCCCTAGGCGCTCTTCCTCCTTAGCTCAGTTTCTCTAATCAAGGAGAGACCCAACAAGCTGCCTGTTACCTGGAATGACCAGAGCACAGCGATCCTCTTTATTAAATAGCAGTAATAAAGTTAATAATCTAACTCAGGCAAATTAGCATCATTAGTGCACTTTACATGGATTTGATACGAATTACAGAGACAGCCCCTAAGGGTTCATTTGGACACTCAGTGAGATGCTCAAGAGCATGACCACACTGCTAAGGTATGTAGCACTTCAAAACCACAACCCAGTTACCCAGATGAACATGAAAAGCTGCGAGCGGTACCCAGCCCTGGGTGGGACTCTCACTGTCAGGGCTCCTGGCACTGAAGATCAAAGGCGGTCCCCAAGAGGTAGTGGGGGGAGTGGAGTAAGAGGCCAAGTTCAGTTAGTTTGGAGACACTCTATCTTTTCCCACAACCTCACTTACAAAACGCTAACACCACTTCCTAACCATCAGCTGTGACTGGGTTGCTGGACGGAGAATTCTGGCTGCTTCTCTGGGTCACAGAGGGTACGCAGGGACTTCAAACGAGAAACAGGAGGTCACTGGATCCCAAAAAGGTCAAGGAAGCCCCAGTTATGAATGGGAACCGGACAGCAGGTAGCAGCAGCATCAAGAGCCAGCGCCACTTCCCACAGGTGTCCCCTTGAGGATGAAAGCATACATCTGACTTGTGAGGGCCAGGATGGCGGCTGAGCCCAGACAAGGACCTGGTGCCCACCCCC